TTACTGGTGCAGTAAATTCTCAGGAAAACGCAGAACACTGTGGATCTTAAGTTTGACACAACAGTGACGTGACACCAGGTCATGACAGAGCTTTTAAATTAGCGTTTGTAGTAATTAAGTCAGATCAGGTAATTGGATTTTGTAGCAAAGCTGTGGATGAGGGTAAAGGGTGATGCTTGATTGATGTCGGAGGAAACGGATTTAATATTCCAGCTTTAAATTAAACATAATGTCACTTTTCTATGAGGTGCAGGCTGTCATTTGATTTAGCAATTAGGAGAATTAAGCTGCTGTATATGAGGTCAGTGTTGGCTTGAACCTACATCACCTGTGGTTCAGAACAGATGGCTGCAGAATCCCAACACTCTCCAGCTCAGCAATATTTGGGGCCGCTGATTGGTCAGTGATTTCAGTAGTAGGAGGAGCTATTTTAGGCAAAAACAGATTCCTCCGTGTCTAATCCACGATGCACTCCACAGTACTATGTGCAGTTTTGACCAGTCTTTTTGCGTGTGGATTGTCAGCTCAGTCGGCACATCTTTTTGTGCCGTGATCAGTTGTTTTGTATTTGGCAGCACAGTGCAGGATTTCACATTATAGTCCCCCCTCCCTCCCCCTCTTTTTCTGCACCTTCCTCTTCCTACACGCCCCTCACCTTTCCATCTGTGGGCTGTCGGTTGCCCCCCTGCCCGCCCGTCCGCCCTCTGCTCTTTTTGAATGCATGGCTTCCATGTGGTGCCTCCATCTGCCCCCGTGAACCCCCACACCACATCGAACTCTGTCAACCTGAGGCAGGCTGCTGCATCAACACTGCTAGTGCTCTCGGCATGGTCCCACTCCAGTGTGTCGCCCCGCTCCATTTGTCAGGAAGTGGGATGATCTGTTGGTTTGCCCTCGCTGCAAAAGATGCACAAATGTTCTCCAGAGCAAGTTGTTGATGGGTTTCCCCTTTTTTATGTGGTCAGACTTGACGATGCATGACATATAATCAGGGTGGGAAATTAACCGTTTCTATCCACTTGCAACATCTTGTAGATTTCCAAATTCTCCTCACATGATTTACATCAAGTAGAAGTCAGTGGTAAAGATGAAATTAAACATGATTTGGCTGCACGGCTAAAAACAGTCACACATTGTCCTGACACGTTAGACAGAGGACATCTGAAGGTAACACAGAAGCCTCACTGTGGGAGTTTGAAGTCGGCCAATTGGGGTCTTTTTTCCTCAGTTTGAGATAACATGTCGCTCCAGTTTTGCAGGTGGCAGGTTATAATTTTCCACCCTGTTTACTGTGTTGCACATTGTGGCAGATCAGTGCATGATAACGCACTGTTCATGTACTTTACCGACAGCACATGTTACATTCTCTGCACATGTAAAAGTGTATTAAAAGAACATAAAACTGGATCTGAACGACACAGAAACTTAAGATGTAATAAATGCATTGTTAAAATAAGCATCTCACTGTAGCTCATTAGTATTTCACTCCTGGCTTTGACTCTCTGTGGAGCTGACTGGAATTTTTAGATGTCTGACTCTTTAAATAGCTCAGCTTCCTCTTTGTAAAAAAGCCTCATTGCCTTTGAGGCTCTGTAACTTCACACTGTATTGTCCTCTGACTGGCTCCAAACTAATTAAACATTAAATTAAACATAATACTGACAGTAAATCAGCAAACAGGCTTACAGGAACAAGGGAGTTGGATTCACTGTATTTGGATTCTGACATGGTCTCTATTATTTCTCTTTTCAGCTGGTGCTCCCAGAGTATCTCATCCATTTCTTCTTCTGCGTGATGTTTTTTTGCGCGGCCGAGTGGCTCACCCTCTGTCTCAACTTACCACTGCTGGCTTATCATGTCTGGAGGTGAGTGTCTCACAGAAAGAAATCTATAGTCTACTCATTCATAGGTAAAGTTCAGCACCATTAAATACTGTATCATCTGATTTAACACATACACACCACTTCATTACTGTGACGCAGGTATATGAGCAGACCTGTGATGAGCTGTCCAGGACTCTACGACCCAACAACCATCATGAATGCTGACATCCTGGCATTCTGTCAAAAAGAAGGCTGGTGCAAACTGGCTTTCTACCTGCTGTCATTCTTCTACTATCTCTACGGGTACAGAATATTTTTTATGCCTTGTTTCTTTGTTGTGAGCGCTCATGTTTTAGTTGTATGTTTAAAAAAAAATTTTTAATTTGCACAGGATTTTTATGTATAATTTTATGACGTCCAGTTTCTAACAATTGGGTAGATGGTTAACTTCATCCTGTGCAAATCTATCACATTTCTAATTTGTGAAGTTAAACTCTCGGGCAAATACATTTTTCTAATTAAATGTCAAGATCATAGATTATTTCTTACTTAGGGAAAACTTATGAATTTTAGAAAATCTGCTCATTCGCTTTTTTGCCAAGAGTTAGATGAGAGGATCTATACCACCATATTTTCTTGTTAGTGTTTTTCACAAGTGTCACATTCCTTTCTTCAGTGTGTTTACTGGTTTTAATTACTGCGCAAGTTTGTCTTGGAGACGAGGAGACCTGTCTCCTGTTTAAAAAAAACCCTGTGAACTATAAACACCTAAAAAGCTGAGCTTAAGTTTGTCTGGACATTGTGAAATGTGACACTTGTGAAAAACACTAACACAATGTCCAGACAAACTTAAGCTCAGCTTTTTAGGTGTTCATAGTTCACAGGGTTTTTTTTTAACAGGAGACAGGTCTCCTCGTCTCCAAGACAAACTTGCGCGGTAATTAAAACCAGTAAAAACACTGAAAAAATCAGGGTGTCTCTGACGCTCTTGGGTTGACACAGAATATTTGAGGGGGACTTCAACCTCAGTTTGTTTCTCTGATAACTTTAAGTTCAGACGTCCTGTGACTACAATCCTTTTTGGGTTAAATGATGTTAAAAAAAAAACAATCAGCTGGAAATGTTTTAATGTCTAGCCATTTGGCTGAAAACTCATTAATATGAAGCTATAGCTAGCTAGCTTATCTTAGCATAAAAAACTGGATGCAGGGGAAATGCTAGTCTGGTGTGGTCCAAAACAAAATCCTCCTGCTGGCACCTCACTAATTAACACATTATACTGTATGTTGATTTGTTTAGTTTGTATAAAAAATAGTGTAAAACTACAATTTGTGATGGAACAGATCTATGCTAGCTGTTACCCCTAAGCTAAGCTAACAGTCTCCTGGTTCTAACTTCATATTTACCATACAGATATGAGTGGTATTGATTCTCATCAAACTCTCAAGAAAGCCAAAACTTTTTTTTTTAACTGTAGCTGTTTAACAAAACTAGCAAAGAAGCTGTAAAACCGTGTTTAAAAAAAAAAAAAAACTAACATAGCAATGTGTGTTATCATGAAACATAAGTATTTAACTTTGTCCTCTTTCTCGTTTCTCCAACAGGATGATTTATGTTCTTGTGAGCTCTTAAACCGGATGATGAAGGAAAAGGACCTGCATGAACCGTAGACGACCAGACACTATGATCTTAGTGCTGGAACACTGGACCTGCTGGAGACCATCGTTCAGCAACACAAGACGCCATTTCTAGCGGACGAACTTTCGACCCCCACACACACAGCGCAGAGTGTCATTTCGGAAACATTTAGCCCGTTTAAAGAGAATATCTCGGTCGCAGCGTTCCTCTCATAGCACTATAGTTTAAATTTTATGGAAAACGAGGACAAACCTGAATGGACAAGTTTTGTTTTTCTTTTCTCTTTTTTTTTATTTTTAATCGTGTGATTTTTGACGCTTGGGATTTAAATAAAGTTTTTTTTTTTCATCTTGTTTCCCAACTTTTGAGTGTTTACAAGTTTAGGTAGACATTTTCAGGTGTGCATTATCTGTGAGAATCTGAGCTGTGTGCTGAACTGCATTAGCTTTTCCTGTGAATTAGACTCTGGGCTTTGATGGCTAATTTATACCTGCAATGTGACTCATCATCATCACTAAAAACAAACAGTCAAATGCAAACTAGACTTCTGTTATTGCTCACAGATGCTAAAGGTCTTTAAATGGATGTTTGAGGACTTGAAGGTGCAGTTTTGTACAGCGAGGGCTGAAGTGCATGGGTTATTATCACTTAGTGAAACGTGTTGCACAGGGACAATCATTATCTGGTTGTCACGACATCAGTTTTCAAACTCTGATGTATTGTTTCCATACTTCAGACTTATCTATCATCACATTGACGTCATGTAATCCCTGTTGAAATCAATGGCAATATTTGTTTTAAGTGTGACTTCAGAGTAGGCAGCGATGTGTACGTGACCTGTATTTCTGTAGAATCGCCCTCGCAGCTATCGATAAATTAAAAAGGTAGACTCAACAGTACAATAATAAACTCAGCATAAGGGAGCAACAGCACCTTGTTATTCTGCGTTTGAGCTTTAGTAGGACTGCTGATGTGCCACTGTTGAATGTACCTTTTCAAATTCCTTAACTGTTTTTGTCATCTGTGCATTTTGTTCATTTAAGCACCAAATATTCCACAGCATTAGGAACACCAGTGTTTATTTATTCAATGTTTTTACTTTTCAATGTCTCCAAGATATCAAACACTCCTCGCAGTGTCGACTCACTTCCAGAAATCAAATCTGGAGAAATGTTTGTTGTTTTTTTAGAGTCATGGCCATTAGACAAAAGTTTTCAGAAATACTGGAGTATTTATTGCCATTTTCAAATGTGTACATTTATCAGGGAAAGGGATGGTCATTGGACATTTGACACAGGTAACATTGAACATTTTTATGTATTAGATCCCATCCTGTCACATCTAGGCAATGACAACTTGAGTTTATTTGAATCTAAATAAAAACTATCCCACTCTTATGGACTGGAATGTTGTTTCAACTCCACACCTTAAAAGGAAGTGAGTTCATGAGCGGGCAAAATTCAGAGTTTTGTTAGCCATGCTAGTGGCTAATAAAATGCTACTAGGAAAAATAAGATGCTAGACAGTATGGGTTTGCAGTGCTGCAGATTTAGAGAGGGTTGACAGAAAATGCAGCTCATTGAATACATGTTTATAAAAAGTTAAGGTGCTGTATACAATATTCAGAGCCTTATATAGCAGCTAACAGCTATTAGCTGTGTAAAGATGGTGGCGTAATGGCTTTGAGCAGAGAATATAGTCACGCTTCCGCTTTGTGTTGTAATCTGAGCTTCTCGGTTCTTTGTTGTGGCAAACAGTCTGCATGTAGTGCGTGGTAGTCCCTGTGAGTGTATCCAACTGGCTTGCTAATCTCCAGCACTCTACATGACGCTTATATGGCAGTTACCACTGATAATGGGATAGAGCCCACCCTCTGGTTTACCCCCGAGTTAACACCATTAGCTCTGTCAGCACGCCCATGTACAAAGTAAACTGGATACAGCGTTGGAGGCGGGGTCCCATTCATTCCTGTCCAAGTTGCTCAGTTGTGCATGAAGCCAAAAAAGTTCAACTTCCAGTGTATACAATTAGCCAGATGTTACACATCATTGGACCCATAGAGCAATCGCACAAGAAACTTTGCCAGCCGAGTGGCTAACTTCCGGTTTAGCCCTCTGCTAACTTGAATGGGAATAAAAAGATTTTCTAAATATTGTCAGACCGAATGGCTCAAATCCCAAAAAGTGAGTTGTTTTGATGCAAAAAAAGAGAGAAAAGTATCCGATATGCAGATGTCTCTTTCATAATGTTAATCTCTCGGAAGAAAGTCTTTTGGGGCGCATGGTTAAATCATGTGACGAACCTGGATGCTGTAATCCCACCGTTAGACCAATACGATAATTGGCTTCAAAACCCGGCCCACTTCCTGAGGACCTGCTTCTGCAGTGTTGCCATTGTTAGCACTGTTCATGTGTTAGCACCGTTCGCTGATAGCTGCTAGCTCAGCCAGCTTCATGTTGAGCTGGATGCAGACAACCTCTGACTCATAGAAAGGCTATGAATGTCGTATAGAGCTCCTATAAAGTTTAAATATGGTAAGCCCCCCCATCTAGCTTAATGATACGTATACTATTCAAAGTCGAGTAAAGACAAAACAGGCCACCTTATGCTCATCATTTATAACAAAACCTCCAAATGTGATATAAATGCAGAAAATGTATTCTAAACTTACTAATAACACCCCAGCAGGATTTTCCTCATCAAGCCTTTAATTTGATTGTAATGAGGATAAAAAAAGCAATATATTAGAGTATTCTGTTAAAGTGCAATCATCAGAGAATAAATTTAATTCACACAATCAGAAAACAATCGCTGAGAAATGAGAGTCTGAAGAGATTGATATTTTCCCGGTTCACTGATGGGAGGAGAACTGATCACCGAGACACTGAGCGCTCTGTGCAAACCTCTCTGCTTTCTTGGTAGGCCGCGTACCTTTCCCGAAACTCATGGAGGAAGTTGTATTGCTATGGAAAAGTCAAAATAAGTTAGTTAGCATGTTTGTTACTGAAATATTACAGCAAAAAGCCTCAAGTCATAAAGAACAAGCAGCAATAAACACACAGGTTACAAAAACATTACAAGGACAACACTCATGGTTTTACATGTTTCAGCCAAATAAATACATTTCACATTACTGCTGCTGACCATTTTCCAAAACACGTCAGTTTTATTTTATATTCCCACCTCATGGGCAGCCAGTTTAGTATGGCAAGTATACAGATATTTTTTAAAATCGATATTTATGTCTACGTTTTTGCCCCTCATCCACACTCAAATTCTGTTTTAGGTCACTAACGCGGAGATTATTTAAAACACCCTCAAAGGAGCAGACTTTATAAAAACTCCATTTTGTGTATCTGTGTGGACATGGAAAACGTAGGGTTTGGGCTACAATGACATCTTCTCAATTCGTGTATGTCCATCCTTGCTTTGTGTAATAGAGTGCTCCAGGGATGACTTTTTTCAGTAAGACAACGCAGAAGTTAGTGTTGTCCTGGTTTCCACCACAAAAAGCCAGTGTAATTTTTCCACTGGATTTTAGATTACATTTTTTATTTTTTATTTTTTAAAAAAGCACAATGACTCACAGGAGTACCATGACATAAAAAATAAAAAACAAAATCCCAGAGGATAGCGATTAAAAGCATTACTGAAAACACTTATTTCCAAAGTGGTCTTTGGTGGAGAGAGCAAAACCATACATAAGAACATTCACATTTACAGAGGTAACCCATCAACCCTCCCCACAATTCCTCCTTTAAAAATTGCCTTTGTTTAATATTCACTAGCACGTTTTTCCATTGGGAGATCCCAGTATAGAAAAATTATCTTCCTGCTATTTTACCATTAACATAAGAACACTGCATGACACAATACTTGCTCTTGTAATGAAATTATGTTGACTTCCAACCATGTAAATTTGAATGTTCATATATTCTGGGGCCCTTTTGTGAATTATATCAAACATATGGTTATGTTTCAGTTGTTTAATTTGGTCTTCAACAGGTAATAATCCATTATTGCAGAAAATAAGGTCTATGGCAAACAAACATTTAAGGTACTTACACGTTTTGCCTAAATGCAAGTAAAAGTGAAAAGTTAACAGTAGGCTATAAAGAAAATACAGTACGGTCGCATGACTTAACATCCCTACCACAATGAGTCTGTAAAGCCGTGTTCAATGTGATGATGTTCTGTAGTCTCATTTAGCCACTTGTTAGCAACCGCATTTTGTAAGATACATAAAAGCTTAAAAATTCCTGAGTGGGGTATTTACTGACGTATTTTATTTCGTAGAGCAAAAGCGTAAAGGTTTCTAAAGCTTGTGTTTACAAAGAAACCAACCAGAACAAATATGTGCCATTTGACAGGGTAAACATGAAAAAGCTGCAATAGGCTATAAATCCTTAAATACCACAGAGTCAGAGAGAAAGAAACGTAACCTCTCACCTTCACAGTTTGTATCGCTCCTCCTCCTCGGTGCTCCCTGAGGATTTCAATGGCTTTGTTTGCTGTCATTGTCAGAGAGAGCTGAAGCAGCAGACAGGCAGCGACTGAAAACATGAGACAGCCGAGTAATCAGAGCAGTGAAGCTATCTGACTACAGAGCATTTAACATTTCAGCAAAGGTCAAACGTTTCAATATAAACTGACACACTGATCTTTGTTGACATGATCAACGACACAAAGAGGAACTTTCAAAGTTAAAAGATGAGTAAAATATTCTTACTTAATCCAGAGCGTCCCAGGCCTCCGTAGCAGCTGAAGGGGGGGAGGCACAAAATCAGTCAAATGCTAAAAGCTGGAGGCAAATTGTTCAGTTGTGTAACAAGAGGCGTCCTGAGGGTAACTGCTACAGAAAATAGATGTCTTTGTGGGATGAGATGTACTGTGGTTCTCTAGGCACTTCAAAAGGTTTAAAAATACTACAAATATTAAAAAAAAAAAACACACAAAGGGGAGATCCATCACAGAAAGTCTGGCTGCATCGATATCTATTTTTAACCCTCGCTCTCCGGCTCTTTAAGTTTACATGCTTGGGTTGAATACCCTGCTTCACGTTTACATAGTTTAACTGTCTCATACATTAGGAGAGTCTAGTACGACCAGTTTGTTCCTGCTGCCTGGTGAGCAGCTTCATCAGCTCACTGAAATGTTGGAGCCTCTCAGCTGATTTTACATGTCTTTGTTTTACAAATTCACACACGATGTAGCAACCCTCCTTTTTCTGGTCTGGTCTGTTGAAGCTGACGTCAGTAGCTCTGTTTACATGGAGCCTTTTATTCCAGTGAGAATAACAGCTTAATCAGAATAAGAAAAAAGCTTTATGTAAATGCTTTGATTTGAATTTAGAGGAAAAAAAAGCTCAGTTTTTAACGTGGCATATTTCCTCATTGTTTCTAGATAAACTATTCAATTTTAAAAGAAAATAGTCAGCACAAAATGAGAAACCTGCAGCCTTATCTTATTTAAATAACAAGGATCATGACTTTCTGTTCATCCAGACCTGCTTGAGTTAAGTTTCCTTGTTATTTGTGAACCCTTTCTCAACCATTTTTGCACCTTGCTAAGGAAAACCCATCTTTGGAACAAGGAGTTTAATATTCGGAGTTAACAAACAGAAGATAAGCCTTCTGTTCACTAGTTTCACCCATGTACTGCAAGCACGAATGGGCTCTATTATATGAAAATGTAACCAGAAAAAAAAAAAGGTTCATCATCAACAGTCAAGTGAATTTAACAGTATTAACCTGTACAGAGTTTCTGGGGAACATCAAGCCACCTGGCAGGAATCATACTGCTCTACTTGTCGCAACATGACAACTTGTAAAACCTCTTTTGTCAGCAGCTTGAGACTGCCAGTTAAAATAAATCAAACACACTTTGAATGCTTTAGTGTTGGAAGTTATTTTCTGTTACGCTGTTATCCAGAAGAGGGAGATAAACTGGGGATACTGGTGCAACTTTAGAAGTTCTTTTTCTTGAATGAATCTCATGGGTTGACTTACTGGATCACAGTCCTCTTGTTGTCCTCGAGGCTGACCTGCAGCTCCTCGAGAATCTGGCAGCACTGCTCCAGCTCAGGAGCGTCTCCATCTGGGAAGGGCGTGTGGTGAACTGTGAAGCCTCGCTGCTGGTAGACCTCCAGCAGGGAGGGAACTCTGTACTTGTGAAGCTCTCCTCTGGTGCAGAAAACAAACACGTCCTGCACGCCCTGGTTCTGGAGCTCCTCTGTTAACAAGAAGGAAGCCAAGATGTAAAGACAACAAAACTTACAAACTCAAAAAGTGAGCCGAGTTAACATTACAGCATGTTATCGTACACAACAATTCTATCAGACTAGATTTATCAAATCTACTGGTATGAGGTGTTGCAGCAATGGTAAAGGAAAGTTAAGAGCTACTTGCGAATGTTAATGATTGTTTATCCAATGTTCAATGATCGTCTTACCAACATCTCTTTCCAGATTCCTGCGGATCTCTTTGTATCTGCAGCCTGAAGTCAGACGAAGGAAACTTATTTTTTTACGAACAATTGCTCAAAACTTCACAATTAAGTAAAAACATACATATTCAAAATGATAAATTATGACTTCACCTGGTAGTGCACATATGCCAAGAAACTGCGAGCACTCCACTATAGACAGAGGTAACCTATAAGCAAATAACAATATGATATACATGAAAACAATAAAGCTTGTTTTATGTCTCACCATTTAAAAACAAAATGACCTTCACTGACACACACACACTTCTGAAACAGCTGAAACTTACCATGAGATGTGAAAGGGCGTCAGCTGCTCCTCTCCAACCTCGTCCTCTTCAGATGAGGAGTCAAACTCAGTCGTCCTCATGGCTTCAGCCAAGCAGACTGTAGAGACAGTAGGGAGGACACTGACATTACATTTCTGGCCTATTGACTTTACATTGTGCACTTTTACAATACTCAAAACTATATCAGAAATATTTTTAGATGGGGTTTTCAGAGTTAAATAAACAGTGGCAGTAGTATAAAAGTGAAAACAGACTTATCTGGTGCAAAAATATAAAAAATAAAAACAAGTCAAAAATCAAAAATACCCTTAAAAGGTGATTTGTCACACATGTATAGAAAAAGGCAAGTTTACAAAATAAAATATTTGCGAATAAAACGTATTGTTGGTCTGTTTATCGTTCTATTTAAAACAATAAAAAAAGAAAAATAGATAAACAGCTGTCAGGCTGACCATATTTTGTGTCATTTAAACTGGGCTAGTTAGGGGAAGAACTCAGTGCATCTTTCTTGAAGTGCTCTATAAAGGGTTCCCAGATCTGGTAGAATTTGTTTTCACACCCTCTTTAGGAAAATTTAATCTTTTCCAAATGCAGTTGGTGCATCACATCCTTCACGAGGGCAGAATGGGCAGGAGCCTGTGTTTGCTTTCAATTAAATAACATCAATCTGCATTCTAGTAGGGTTACAAATAACATTGTATTACACTGGGAGCTGGTTAACACAAGATCAGAACCTTTAATACCAAAGAGTGCGGTCAGTGGATCAGGATCCACAGGTCGACCCAGGACGTCTGACAGTGACTGCCTACAAGGGTCGTACACTGGACTAATATCTGGATACATTTTACAGAGCTTATTATTTCATAAGTGAAGTCTACGCTATATTCTAAATTGCAAAAGTTCACGTGTAATTTTAGATTTTAGAAGAAAAAAAAAAATCATATATTCTGTGATGAAGTCTCTGCAGGTTGATTTTTAGTGGAACTCAATGGAAAGACACCAGAAATTCACTCAAAATCCCACCAAAATATGTTTGATTGACTTTGGAAACTATGGGCAGTTGTGTAAAGTGCAGGGTGTAAAAACAAAATTCAAAACTATACTATACATTATAGCACAGTACAAAGCAACAGCCCACCTATAAATGTTAGCATTGCAAAGCTTATAATGTGTAGTTTTGGCTGAAACAGTCACATATCGACTTAAGTCTAGGGTGAAAGCATTTTGCTTTAAATACCTCACAAAAAAACGGTAATATTTGTTTCAGGACTTTAATTGTTTACTGTATTACATTATGCAGGTGTGTATTTCATGGTGTGCTGTTCACAGTCATATGAGACTGAACGTGGACTAAAACATGCTAAAGCCATGGTGGTGGTGGATGGTCCTTTAAATAAACTACGTGTCAGCAAGTAGCTAAGCTACACACCAAGCTGTATGTAAACTATGACTTAAACACGCTATAGCCTAGCTATTAGAGAGCTTTATCTCCACTACCTAGGAGGCAACACGATCTATACGAAGACAACATATTATTTAACATTGACACATGTATAAATGTTGCTCGGAGAGTCATTAGTTGCAGATGGTAGCTAACGTTAGCTGTGCAGCACAGATCTGTAAGATCAAATTCATAAAACGGAGAGCAGTTAAATTAAAATCTTCAAGTAACAGTTATCAGAGAACATTAAAAAGCGGAGTAGTTTATAGAAACACATATGTGGATAAATGTAAAATATATCTGTAGTTAATCCTCACCGGTCACGCTCTCCTCCTGTCGGCTGTTTGACAGCTCCGTCAGCTGCTGCTTCGATTTGAAAATTCCTTGAGCCCAACAGCCAATCAGATCCAAGCACTGTCACGTGACCACGCCCCTCCACAAAACAAAGCGGGCACGTGTGCGCTTTATTTACTCTGCGGGGAGACTCAGACGGGCGGAGTGAAGGAAAAACGACAGCGTTTTGTTGTCTAGGACTCGGTGAAATAATATGTTCATTACATTAAATTAAGCGTGTTTAATGAGTGGAATTAAACATCGTACATTAATTAGCTGAAGCTTGTTGTAACTTCATACAATAAAATATACAAAATATTAACATAATCCATTATTTGTTTAAATATTTTTATTTGTATATTTAATTTTTTTTTATATCTACACCTCTATTTACATTTTGTAGGCTATAGTACACACACTATGACTGCTTGATTTCAGGATTTGTTTTGCGTAATTATTTCCCTATATTTTCATTTATATAATCTGATGCATTGTACTGTATATAATGTCATCTCTAATCAATTTGTTTTTTTAATTTTATTATCTTAATAAAATAGCTCTCCATCTGTTTTGTTGAGTCTTATCTTAATTCTTGTATTTCCATATTATAAAAATAAAATAACCCCCCCACCACCACCACCATGAGCAACAGTGCTACGTGAACAGAATAAAAAAAAATATGAATAAATAAAAATAATAGTGGAATAGAATATATTTGCACAGTTGCACAAAATTAGTATATCCATGGTCCACAGTGGAGCTGACTCCCTCAGTTAATCACAGAGCTGCTCATTGAGCGTCATGCGGGACATCTGCTGTCCGCACAGAGCAGCGTGCAGCTCGACACCACACACCCGCCTTCAAACACCGCAAATGACTGACACCAAGTTTCTCCACAGAGGAGGAAACACAGGGAATTTTAAGCATTTTGGGATTTACTGTATCTCTTCACATGTATGGAGGAGCAACACTGAGGAGCTTTAACTGAGGTGAGTTTCCTGTGGCTTTCTTTTACATCTACTGCATCAGCACATTCTTTATCTTATGTTTTTTGGTGGATTTTTGGCTAGTGTGACATTATAATTATGTTTAGAAATATTACAAGATGCTTTTAAGTTGCTGGCATGCATATCAGTCTTGCTTCCTTTAATAAAAATGTGATTTCTATATATTTTAATTCCAGAGAAGTGATATAAAATAAGGATATGTTATTAATGGGTTTAAAAAGTGTTTTTTTAAATGGTGTATTTGCAGTTTTAACCACAAGGCTAATGCACATTCTATTTTCCAATTTTTTGCTGATCCTGCTCGTCCTTCTGTCAGCAGACCTATAAGGAGGTTTCTTGGCTCCTGCAGCCATTTCCCCTGCAGGGCTGAGCTCTTTGGCTGGCTCACTACTTCCTTAGCAGAGGGGCTGCTGGCAGGGGCAACACTCGAGCAGGTACCACAAACAAACAAGAATAAAGGCACGAAAAGACATTAAATAAGGTTACAAATGTTTTTATAACTCCTCTTGTAAATGTATAGGCTTTGATATTTAGTTGGAAACGAATAAATAGAATTCACATTGTTTTTGATTCACCTTACTGAGAAAAAAAAAACAGGTTGACTTCCCTGCTTTGTCCCTATTGTGTGAATGTTATCTGATATGTTTGGAGTGAATCACACAGGAGAACATGCTTTTCTCTGCAAGGCGGGCTCAACTCAGCTTTACTCTTTACAGTCTGTCAAACTAGAAATATCTAACAGGTCATCTGAGCTTTGCACATTATTAACTGAGTGTTTGCAAACAGCCTTGTTTGTGTCTCTCTGTCTCTGTGCAGGTCATGAAGCCTCAGGAGGCAGAGCTTGTTACTGAAATCTCCAAGGTATTCTGCACCTTCTCTCATCAGCCAGCCTGGCTTTGTTAAAGAGACAGTTCACTTTAAATTTAAAGCCATTATCACTTAAAAAAATAAGCAACAGATGAAGTCCAGTAGTCCAAAATACAGTTCAGACAGACATTCATGTGATGTTCTTATCTAAAGGTCAATGCTGTTGTGCCTTGTTAATGCATCTTATATTATTTCTGATATGACACCTGCTGCTCCCTCAGTTACAATGCATGGTTTCGGAGCTGAAGACGGGGTTCACCAGCGCTCTGCTGGAGCTCAGTCAGATCCAACATGGAGACACGTACCTGAGGGAGGAGCTGGAGGAGAACAGGAGGAGCTGTCAGAAGAAAGCTCTTCGTCTGGAGGCTCTGGTCGAGTCTCTGAGGGTGAGAGGACTCCCATCAGTTGAACTGTTGAGGAAAAACAAACATGAAAAGTGTTGTATTCACACATTGATTTAAAAAGTAACAAACAATTTTGACTGCTCCATCCATTACAGATAGTATAAAATTATACTCACCACATCTTGTCGTCTAACAGGAAGAACTTGGAGTGATGCAGTGTCAGATCCTGCAGCTGTACAGTAACAGAAAGAGACCTCAGCAGGATGGAAAGAGCTCCACATCCAAACACAGAGACAGGTAAACCAAAACTCAAATATAAACCACAGGGTTCGCATTTTCCCTATTACATATTCATATTTTGTTTCTGGTTTGTCATAGAAAATCCAGTGTTGCAAATTTCTGCCAAATCTACAGTGTAAAACGCAGATTAGAAGATGAAGGGCTTCCTTATTTTGTTTTTGTTTGTTTACAGGACATCCATGTTTGATATGTAATAATTTTCAGTGGCAAACGGCACACAAATTACTCATAAAAGAAGCTGTTCACACCTACAGCAGGTGGTCGTAACTGCTGTTGAAACATTTTTGTCACAGCTGTGTAAAACCTGCAGAGAGACATTTTGCCATCTGTCCACTGTCTTGCAGCAGCGATCCAGCAGAAGCAGCTTGTGAACGGAGGCAGTGTGACCGTTCGTCTGCTCCAGCGCCGGCCTGTCTGTCCAGAGGGAAACTGCTCCTCCACTGTTTCCTGCAGGGCCTCAAGGCAGGACTGAGTGAAGGCACAGGTGAGATGTTTACAGCTGATTGCGATGACACAATGGGCCTTTTCCACAGAGGACATTTTGACTGGTCACAGTAGGAAAAGCACAGGTGTAAGCAATGACATTAATGATGGCTGAAGTCCATTTAGCTGCTTTGATTTCAGGTTGCTGACACTGTGCATGCTTCCTCGCTGACACTCTCACGGGATCACTTGAATAGAACAGAGCCATCTTTAGTGTTTGCAGTAACACCTGTGGTTTCCCTACTTTAACAACACAAAATGTCTGCTGTGAGAAAGGCCTGATTCAACCAACAACAAGCACATTAAAATATTACAGCTGCTACCACAAAACACCTGCTGTCAGGAAGACATTTTCAACTGTTACAAATTTTCTCACCAAGCTTTTTAGAAACAGTGCAACATTTTAAAACAGATTCAAAAGCCAGATGTCCACAAAAAATGTGCTCAAGTCCTTTCTTGGTTGTCCATAGTACCGACGCACCCAAGATAAACTTTTTTGTTGCCCCAAGTAGGCGCAGTTTCACAGCAGCCCTAAGACTCTGCAGGGCATCATAAACTGTCACATAACAAGTGAAATGCAGTCCTGTGTAGTTGTTTAATATCTTTTTTTTGGGGCAGATGCAAGACATCAGGTGGCGATGCAACTTCTGCATTCTGAGTGGGAGTACGTGTCAACCTTAAACCAGCTATATGATAAATACAAGACGCCACCAGCTCGTCAGATGACTGTGGAGCCATAGTGAGTGCCAAACAGTTTATATGACTTCACAGAAAAGCAACAGCTCAGGGGTTTTCATGTTTAAAACAGAGCAACAAATTCTTCCTGCAAGTTATGTCATAAAACCATTCGACTGCAAAGACGCAAAAACATGACTGAAATCATCTCTTTTGCTTTTTGTGTCGTGATCCAGTCAGACATATCTAAAGTTTGTGGAGCAGCTGTTGCAGCGACACCTGCTCTTCAGAAACACCCTGCAGGAGCGTTTATCTGCTGAACACTGGAAATCTCTGGTTGGAGACATCCTGGTGCAGCTAATCGGACAAAATGATGTAAGTTGATGCTCTTTTTTTTTATGATTTCAGTTCATTATACTAAACACTGACTCATGATTGCTCTGATTTGTGTCGTCCAGACAGCCTTTTCAGACATGTACCTCGGATACACGACTACACTGGCGTCATTCCTCTCACTGGAGTTCAACAGACTCAATCATTCTGAGAAAATGCAGGTATTTAAAAATAATACAGCGTCAGCATTATTCAGTCATAATGTACCTGAGTAGCTCGACAGTGCTGACGTCTGTTTTCTGACTGCATTTAACAGAGTGGCCAGATGGAGAGAGAGGAGATGAAGCTGCTCTCCCTGCTGTTGGCACCTGTCTCTCGCATACACAGCTACCTGAGCCACATTCAGGTGAGTCAGCAGCCACAGGGAGTCCAGTTTATAGAGCGGAAGCTACGCAAGATGTGACACTGCAGGTCAACTCTGAACCTGAAGTTCAGGAGGTTAAGTTGGGTTTGGCTAAAATGAGACATTTAACATCTTAAAAACAAAAGCAACAATGATTCAGAGCAGAAAATAAAATCCATGAGGATGCTTCACCAAGGACAGTAGAAAGCCAGAGATCACTAGATCACAAAATAGATTTAAGTCCCTTTCACACATGTAGTCTATCCCTGAAATGTTTAGGGATGTTCAGGAACATAGGTTCATGTGTGAATGGACACAAGGACAGATATTCAGGGAAATCTGCACCACCAATTTCCTCCAAATCCTCAAGACCTTGTAACGTTCCAGGGAAAATCCTGGTGTTATGAATGAAAGCAGTAACACTGCAGAGATGAGCATGTAAAGCGGGGATACTTAACCTGCCTGGGAGCCACTTGACAGGAGGCCAGGGGCTAGTTAATAAACAAACACTAATAATATTTATCAGTAAATTTAAGAAATTAATTGCCTGTTTTCAACCTTTGAAAGTTTGTTGTACGTAGGGGTTTACAGTCTAGGATTTGAGGACATTCAGGCATTAGCCAGGACCTTTGTCGAGAGGTCTGGGAGATTCTTCACTGGCACTTTTTTTTATGAGTAAGCTCTGTTTTGATGCTTTCTTAATGCACTCTGGCATCTTATTTACATTCAGAGTGCAAAAAAAATGCATTTGATCTGTGACTATGTGTTCTTTACTTGTCTTGCAATTATTTATTATTATATGCTCTATATATTAATTATATTAAATACATTACAAGAACATTGGCACCGGACAAAAACTCCTCGCCAGCCATGTTCCTGAAAATAATACAAGACGTCTGCCACCATGTACACGTACAGCTAGCTTTGCCCCATCTTCTTCTTGTGTTGCATTACCCCCATTTGCTGGACTGTCCCTTGCTTCGTCTATTTCCAGCACTGCAATGGCATGTGTGAAAAGGTGCAAAACGGAAATGCTGCTGAATGTAGTGCATGTATGAAAATCACAGGCATTGCTGAGAAGTATGTGTGAAAGAGGCTTTTGTAACAGTTTTAGGAGGTACTACAGTTTAAAACTACATTTAGTTGACAGACTGGGGTTTATTTTATGAAGATTTTAAAAAGCTGGAGTTAAACTGTTCATAATCATTACTGATTTACTTAATTTCTCTCTATTTTCCTTCTCTAGAACTTGCTGCAGTGGACGGGTAAAGAACATCCTGACTGCAGCCTCCTGTTGGGAACTGAGCGAGCGCTGAGGAGCATTTTGTCTCGCTGCCATGTGACCTTGGAGGAAGACGTCCGATGGGAGGAAGGAGAAGGAGCTGGACAAAGGTCAAGTCTCACATGATCTTTGAGTATAAACACTCAGGTTGATGCCTCTTATATCAGATGAGATGTTTATATTGACTACCTATGTTTGTGTCTTTGGCTCATTAGCAAATTCAGACATTAAAATGTATCCTCATTCTTTACTTGAACAGCAGCTGCTCTGACGCAGTGGCTGGAGGATCCTCTGCAAACTGTTGCACCAGTAGCCAACAGACCAGAGAGTCTCAGCGGGAGTCCAACACTGCAGCTCAGAGGTGAGTGTCGCCCTCTGCTGGCCCCTGCAGTGCCCAAATACTGTTGTCAAGCTCAGACAAGTGACTTTTTCAGGGACATTTATGTGCAAACACATTGCAGCCTGACCTGGATTACATTTTATAGCACATTTGCCTTCAAAACAGTTATGGATGGAGTGCTCAAATCCTTGGATTAAGTCCACAAAAAAAAGAAGTATTGGCAGGAAAGCATCCAAAGTAAAAGTGTTTACATCAAAGAAGAGAAACCCACATGTTTAAGGGATTTTCATGTTTTTAGATCACTAAAAGAAGAAAGTAAGGAATGAAAGTAGGAATAAAGCAACGTTTATGTGTGAGTCCTGGTATAATAACCTCCACTCTCTGTCCCACAGAGACGACCAGCAGGCTGTCAATCTCACTAATGGAGTCGATGGTTGTCACTCAATGCGTGTGGAGTGTTGGTCCTGCAGCCCAGTGAGGAGGAAGGACTGTGGAAGAGACCGGACCCTCCTGAACCAGCCGGCCCGTGACTGTGGACACGCCTACTGCTCCCTCCTCACCCCCGACGCTGCAGCATGGGGAGAGAACAGCGACTCAGGCCAGGGCACCTACAGCCAGCCCACTGGGAAAGGCACCAATGGGTTGGAGGCACCTCACACCAACCACAGCCTCGAGGACTGCGAGACAGACCCTGACGACACCTCAGCCTTCGACTACTCCTCTGTCACCTCCTGCAGCCCTGACGGCACCCTGCGCAGGGAGATGATGGGCAGCAACAGTGGGGAGGATGAAGAGGACAGCCAGGTGCCAGTGCTGTTGAAGCCCTCATACAACCAGCAACAGCATCAGCAGAGGGAGGCACCCAGAGAGAGGACTGTGTGTCTGAGGTGGCAGATTCCCAGATTAACGCCTCACCCTCCTCTGAGAAACACTGCAGGGTCATGTGTGGACGGGCCTACGCCGTGCCTCGTCAGCTCTTACGGGAAGAGGCTGGTCAGTGTCAGGAAGGGGTCGCCTCCTCTACATCCAAAAAGTGCCTTCAGGCCCATCTGGGATGATCCATCCAAACAGGTATTTAGCTTTTTGTTACATAAGCACCATGCTCTGCCAACACTGGGCCTTCTTTTGGTCAGAATGGTCAGAATGGTCAGAATGAAACGATGCCACTGTGGAATTTAGCATTACTAAAGCAGCATATACTCTTGCTCAAGGCTGCACAGATCTCTAAATTTGTAATATGAAAACCACTATGAGTAGAACTGCATTTGACTTTGGCACCCTCTTGTGGTAGACTGGTACAGCAACAGAAAGGCTGCAACTTTCATTGAGATTGACACAAAATGTGCCATCAGAACATTTAAAATATACTATTCGCGCATAACAATTCTGCATAAAGTGGCTTTAAAGAAAATATTTTAAATTTAATGTAGATCAGCATTAAATTGCACATAGTGATAGACAGGTATGGGATAGATGGATTACTTTTTTTAGTTTTTAAAGGAATACTCCACCCACAGAATAACACTTTATATATCAATTTCTCACCCAATGTTACGTTAAATTTGTGAGGATAACCTTGTTTTTCTAGAATGCCTTTGGCAAATGAAAAATCATACATGTATATTCACTTAAACCTTCCCATTAAAAATACTTTCATATGCGAGTAGCGCGCCTGGACAAGTGCGTTTGCTTGAACCCTGCTCTTGCATTCCATTGAACAGAGTTCAAATGCATACACTTGGCCAGGCACAGTATTCGTCTGTCCGTTTATGCAAAAGTGTTTTAAATAGGTTTTAAAGTTGATAAACAGATGTTTTGATATAGTTTTGCTGTTGTTAAGCGTGGCTCCCTTTTACTTAAATTCTTCAAGAATTTTCACAGTTTTTGGATTCTTCATTCTTGGTGGAGGCATGAGAGAAAAACAAAGTTTTCTTTACAAATTTAACATTACGAGG